GATATGATTGGCCGTAGAGGGTTGTTCTGTTTATGAGTTTTTACAGTTCCGTAGATATATCCAGGCGTATAGTCTCCTATGATAGGTTGGAGAACCTTTTCTTTCGCTTGTTTGTTAACAGTGGCAATCAATTTATTAACGTCTGTTTTTAGTGTTTTTGTCGGGTCAGCTCTAATCCTCTTAAACTTGCTATTGTCCGATAGAATGGCGTCCAATTTTGTCTTATATTCCTGTTTGTCCATGATCACTAGAATATTAGCTTTGTCCGCGCGTCGCACGATGATGTCGTCATGGTTCCTGAGTTCCTTAGCGGCCGTATGGAGTTTTGGTGTTAGCAGGGGGTTGTTGTCGTGGTCACGTCGTTTCGTGCTTTCCACACGTAGTTGGTCCCGCAAGACTGGATTTATGTCGATAAGGTCCTGTTGTTGTAGTTGTAGAAGAGAGCAGTAGAGTTTCTCAAGCTCAGCGGATTTAATGTCCTTGTTGAATTTAGGTTTAAAATGGCATTTTGGCCCCAGGTTGAGTAGTTGTTTCTGGTCTGTAGTCAGTTCTGTATTGGAAAGACTCAGGTAGCATGCTTTTTCTTGTGGTAGGCAGATAGTACCTTGATATAGGTTGTTGAGCTTTTTTGTTATCTGTAATCTTTCTTTTCTTTGTGTTTGTCGATTGTGTTCTGTAGGTGGGTTAGTAATTCCATATGCAGTGAATTGTCGGTGATTTCCTGGCGTAAATTCTGCAATAGTTCCTCGATTTTGTCGTTTATTTCGTTGATGGCGGTTTCTCCTTCTGATATTTGCCTTTTGACAAGTTTCTGCTGAAACTCCAAGGTTATCTTATCGTCTTTTGCTGTCAAGTCATGTAATCGAATTTTGGTGTACTTTGGTGACAGATTTTCTTGTAGGCAGATTTTGTTGAATAAGATCGATGTCTGTAGGTTTACTTTCTTCTTGGAAATCTTCTCAAGAAGTCGATAAGCCGTTTTAACGTTGTTAGAACAACGGGCAAAAGTTGTAGATAGTGGTGAATTGGCCGACGCGTTTCGAATGCGGTCTGCATCCATTATCAAGGCTGAGTGTTGTGTGAATTGCGATTACTGTTAGTGGATATTTATAGGCAAGGGGTGGTGGTATTTAGCTCATTAGGTGGTGCTGTCAACTACATTGGAAGGCGTTGATTGGTGGAGTGTTGTATTGTGGCTTCGGGGTTTCTTGCTAAGAAGTAGCAGTGTGCGTTCTGTTCCAGTCGATTGTAGGGGTTTGCTGTAGGATCTGTATGGCCTCGTGTATCTGGAGCGTTGTGAAGTCGTTAAATCGGCGTTTTACTTTAGTGTTTTGTACTAGGTCCTGACGTGTGAGTTTTTGGTTGTGGATGTGGGCACAATGTTCTTTGATGGCTCCATTTTGTAGGTGCATTGTCAGGCGTCTTGACAGCATCGTGGTAGTCATTCCGATGTAGGAGGCATTTGCCAGGAGCTCACAGTCTCCTTTATTACACTTGTACTTGTAAATGACGTTCACTTGCTGTAGATCTGTTGTCTTTTTATCGGGGCTGTTTTTCATGATAAGGTCCGACATTGTGGTAGACTTGTAGTAGATGTTGAGTTGTAGTTTTCTGTTCTGTTTCTTTGGTGTAGTATTTTTGTAAACGATATCGTTTAGAATCAGTTCGTCTGTCTTGTATGCATATATATAAAGTAAAACATTTCAAGTTAGTGCACCAACAGATATGCCTTATTATGTAAAGCCTTATATTAATGCTACAAAAATGGTTAAAGCGAGTGCCCCAGGGGCTCAGTGGTAAGTATGAAGGTTTAAGCCACTGAAAAGTAGGTTTTCGATACCTGTGTAGGCACAGCACAAATAACCCAATGGTAGCATTGTGCTTAACAACAAAGAAAGGAAAGAAACCAAAGCAAATAACTTTGGCAGGAGCAGTGTATATTTTCTTTAACAAATTTATTTAACTGTGATTATTAATAGAAACTCACCTCGAGGAAACTGACTAGGGCTAACTAGTTCCTTGAAAAAATTTTGAGAACTTCGCATCTGATCAGGTTCCGATACTTCAGACTTAAACCAGAACTTGAGCTGCCGACTTTCCTAGTGTTAAAATGAAATTCTACAATTATAATTGATGATATCTATAGAACTTTTTCATATTAAACATTATACTGCAGCCCAGAATAAAACTATATATTCTGTTATTATTAATAATTATTAGTTATTCTTTTTTTAAGTTTACTTTCACATAGCCATCAAAGTTAAGATATGCCTTTATGTTCAAAAATATGTTGCATTTTGGCAAATGAAAACAAAAGAATTAGAGAAATTATTAGAAGAACAAAAATTAAGTATTCAGCACTAGTTCAGTCTCTATAAGTTAACTGATACATTTCTGTAAAACCAAGGAGTGAAAATTAAACAATCAAGTTATGCTTTAAAATTAAAAATCTCAATATTTAAAATAAATTATATATAAATAAATCTTTTAAAATCTAATGTTACGTTAAGGAAAATGCAAATTTCAAGTGTGACAGAAGGAAGGTATATTTCTGAAAATACTTGGGTTTTTGTTTTAAAACATATATATATAATTATCATACATAATTTCTTACTGTCATAAATCTTTAAAATGAAAATGTTCATATTGCTGTAAGCTTTATTTTCAATTATGTAATCTGTACATTAGCTAGAGTGCGCAAAATATTACGTTAGGCCCAGAATGCCTAAAAAGATCCAAGTTTTTTTCATACCTTCGAAGCTAGAATATAAATACAAGATAATTGTGAAATATGTCCAGTTATTTCAAGATACTAGAGTGAATCAATCATTGTATTCGGATCTATCATGGTTATTGAGATACTTTCTACAAGTAAGTTGATTTTACATTAATCTTAGTATTGTTAGAGAGGTTTAATGTCATTTATAATGTAGGTCTACAACAATTTAAAAATTATATATATATAAATGTTAAAAGAGGAAACAAACTAATCTGAGATTGGTATGTGGATGGACGTTGAATTATTTTTACCATTACCAGATAATTCAAAAGAACCTGCCAATGAAAGAACAATGTTATTACAATACTGATGGCATGCCCCACATTACGACTTATAAAAATCTTTATTTCAACAGTTTATTGTAACATTGCTATAAAAGAAAAACAAATTTTAAGGCTTATTCAGAAAAACTGCCACAAAGATGTTTTTTTTTTGTACTAATGAAAATATCTTCCAATGCTGATTCTCCAACATTATACTACATTTAAAACCAAACTGAATAAAACAAACATACCTGAGTGTGAGTATTATTTGCTGCATTGGTCAAAAATACCTTGAACTCCAAAGAAAGGTGTGCAGGTGACTCATCATTCTCTCCTATTAAAAAATATAATTATCACTTATCTATTCTAATGTCAGTTTTTTCTAAAGTTCTGTATATTTTCTGTAATCTAATCCTCAAAAGCAACTATCCTTGTTTTACCTAACATTAATAAATTTCAGTAATAGTTTTTACGAGTACGTAATTCACTTTATAACTTCTGCACTTTACATGCCTATATGCCAGTTGAATAGTAATAAAACACCATTTTTGTAATTCTCATAATTAAAAATACGTGTTCCATACATATAAATAAAAGAAAAAAGATACAAATAGAATCACGCATTTAAATTCAAACACAATGGAGAAATCCAAGTCCAACTGACGTTTATTTCGATTCAAGAATAAAAAACAACAATATTTACCTGTTGATGCCTCTTTATTGATGACAATGCCTTTGTGATCACCTCCAGCTATATGCACAACATTGTTTACATCAGTTTGCTGTACTCGCTCCATTTTGATAGTGGTATGACCATACCCTCTTCTGGTGGGCGTCATTACTATCTTTTCTTTTAAAAACAGACAAAAATAATGATTACTTTTATTTGGTTGTGCTAATTGTTGAAGTAAAATTTTTATTATTACAATAATAGCTTCAGGAACATTGTCATAAATTAATCTTTAAAATAAAGGTATTTATACCTATGACTTGAATAATTTGCACCCGTATTTGATTCAACTGCTTAATCAACTTTTATTCTACTTACAGACATTAAATTAATCATTGGTCATAACGATGACTTGACATTGAACACACAGTTTTGCTTTTATTTTCACGCACGTCAGAAAGTGTACTTTCAATTTTTTTCTGAGAAAAAGAGCATATTTCAACCACACTATGTCTGCCATCTCCATTGCCATATACATTTATAATAGTATATGCTACTGTACTATAATTAATCTAAAATTTGTCAGGGATTTTCTCTTTAGTTTGTTTTTTTTTCAAAGAATTGAGGTGGGCCTCAGGTGGAGCAGACATCTGTGATGTACTGTTATCTTCATCAGTGGAATTGTCATCAACTGTGGACTTTCCTTCTTCATGATTTCGATTCTCTCACACAGAATTTTTGCACACTTCTTTCTATGTACAAATTATGAAGAATCTAAATTCAGTTCAGTATTGAAGTAAACTATTTTCAATTTAAAGGTTCCTCAACTGGTTTGGTCACTTTCACACAGAAAGCTGTTTTCTTATTAG